ATAGATAGATAGATAGATAGATAGATAGATAGATAGATAGATAGATAGATAGATAGATAGATAGATAGGTAGATCGATAGATAGATAGATAGATAGATAGATAGCTAGATAGCTAGATAGATAGATAGATAGATAGATAGATAGATAGATAGATAGATAGATAGATAGATAGATAGATAGATAGATAGATAGATAGATAGATAGATAGATAGATAGATAGATAGATAGATAGATAGATAGATAGATAGATAGATAGATAGATAGATAGATAGATAGATAGATAGATAGATAGATAGATAGATAGATAGATAGATAGATAGATAGATAGATAGATAGATAGATAGATAGATAGATAGATAGATAGATAGATAGATAGATAGATAGATAGATAGATAGATAGATAGATAGATAGATAGATAGATAGATAGATAGATAGATAGATAGATAGATAGATAGATAGATAGATAGGTATATGCATAAGCTTTCTGACCAATGAATTAGGCGAATGAAAACAAATTTTGGAAAAAAACAAAATCATGTGACTTGTTTTGATAAATATAAATTATATTGAATTTAGCTGAACACAATACTTGCAAACATTGAAATCTCAATCAAAATTAAAGCTAACCTATTTATTAAAAATTAGTTTTCAGAAGTGGAAAAACAATAATAAAAACCAGATGAGTAGATAACTAATAAAAGGATTTCAAACGAACCGATGTCTTGTTAACAAATGTTATGGTTTAAACTATAATCGATTGGACAGTGTTCATAGAAAAGTGACTGATTACTTTGCATTTTCTCAAATAAATATTCTACCTTTAGTATATCATAATTTGAAGGGATACAATGAAATCCTATTGAAAGAGAGTTTTAGTGCAAGATAACTGTTGATGGAGTTTTGTTCTCTAAGCTGGATAACTCATACCTCCTAACTACCTATAAAAAAGAAACCTATTAAAAGAACTGGAATTCTATGAGATAAAACTGATGTTTGATAGTTAAGCAGTAGATTTACATGAGTAGTTTCAGAGAGGAAGTTTTGGTACATTATTTTTTAAAACAATGAGTTGTAGACAATTTTGATAAAAATGAAAACTAAACTCTTCCACGTCGATACACCTGATACAAGACTAAGACGCTCAAAAGCCGTATAGTTTTACATCATATTCCTGATATCAATGAGCAAACCTAGGTTTGACTTTAGATGAGTAGATGTTGTTGAGAAGTAACACTGGAAGGCATGTCTGTAGTTTTAAAAGAACTGATTTTTCTTGTCAAACTCTAAAAAGCATCACTAAATTTCACAGTTTGAAACGTTATATCCAGCCAGGCAGTACCTAAATATAGAGCAACCAATATCGAGTCACATAGACTAGTGGTTGATAGACTTAAATTAGCACTAAGAGCTAGACAAATATATCGGTTACTATTTAGTGATCAGTTATTAGAAACCTACATTTCTTTATCATACCCGATAGATTGCTTTTATACATGATTTTGACTGTTAAAACAAAAAATTCGTCCTATTAGACACATCTTTCACATACTTTAATGATTTTTAGAATTACTGATTTCATCAAGTTGTTTCACAAAAAGCCTGATTTGACAGGTTTCACTAATCATGCCTTAAGAAATAGAATATTTGAGGGCTAACGGTTATTCTGAATAAAAGTACTACTGATGATTAGTTCCAAACATTTTCATCAAATAAGTCACACGATACGGCTATAAATCTCCACTTTATCTCAACTATCAAAGTATATAAAGACCAAGGGGGCATTTTAAAGCTGCTTCATCTCCTTAGTTATAGACTCTTCATTTTAATCCAGAGAGTTAATATATACTTAGTATATTGTTAATACTACTTTATAAGATAGAAAATAATATTCTAACTAATAGGGTGCAAAACGATCTTTAAAAAAAAAAGATAAACAGATGAATACATTTTCCGTGTTTAATTATTATTAAAATGATTGATATATTTCTTCATCTGATTTCAAAATAAGCAAAATGTATAAAAAACTTATTGTTTGATTGATTGTATAAAATTTTAATAAAAATTACATGACAAATAATGAGAAATACTTTTAAATTCACTTGATATTGTTTACTAATATCTTTCCATTGTTATTTAGGACTACAATTGATCAGTCTCTTGTTGGCATATGTGCATCTTATGCGGACTGCATCGATATTGCCTTAGGTCACAAGCTTTATGAGTAAAGATGGATGGTGGTTAGCGGTGGAATTCAAGACGCGCGTTTCGTTCTATTTGGGACTCGTCAGCTGGATGTACCAGCATCTCAGAGTTGATGTTCACTCTGAAACTCGAACCCAGAACCTTTGAACAAGTAAGTGGCTATCAGGACTCAGTAGCTAAGTAGATAACGCGATGGCGTTTGGAGCGAACGGCACTCAGTTCGAGTCCCAGGGTGAACATCAACTCTGGGATGCAGGTACATCCAATTGACGAACCCCAAATAGGACGAAACCTGCGTCCTAGATTCCTCACTATTACTTACCTGGTGATCCCAGCAGATGCAAGCAAAATTTCTAAGGTATTTGTGGTAAAATACTTGTAGTTTTCGAGTATCTTCAACTCCTAATGGACGTTTTTCGCAACCGTAAAGTAAAACAAAACGAACTGCCGCGCAGTATACACGCCCCTTAATTGATAGACGGATATCTCGCCTTCGCCATAGGTGACGTAAGTTGACAAAAGCCAAGCGTGCTTTTCGAATCCGTGCTTAGATTTCGTCAGACACCAACCCATTAGGACTGATCAGACTTCCAAGATAAGTGAAGTTGTCGACGCGTTCGACTACTTCACTCCCTATCCTTAGTTCAGGTGTTGACGTAGATCAGTCCTGAAGCAGCAGCTTGCATTAAGAGGGAGAGAAGCGCATTCCAAACATTCTGGCATTGTTGCTTAGTGCTACCAGAAGACTCTGCATTTTATCTGCGTCTTCACCAAACAGGACTATATCATCTGCGTATTCTAAGTCGATAAGTGGACCTCCTGGAAGGAGATCAATGCCCGGTAATTCAGTCGACGAGAATGTTATTTCCATCAATAGGTCTATGATGAAGTTAAACAAAAATGGAGAAAGTGGACAGCCTTGATGGACACCACTTGAGGTTGCAAAAGTAGATGACAGTTCACCATAAGCCCTGACTCGACTAGTAGTGTTCGAGTAAAGAGCCTTCACAAGGTTTATGTACTTCTGAGGTATGTCTTTCAGTGACAAACACTGACACCGAACCTCTCGGCCTACAGAGTCAAATGCTGCTTTTAAGTCAAGAAAGACCACCATTTTCGGACGCCGATAAGTATGCCTATGTTCTAGAACCTGATGAATAGTAAATATGTGGTCGACCTAATAGAATACATAAATGTGTAAATTGTTATTGAAATGCGTATAAATAATTCATCTTATTAATTTTTTTATTTACCCAGATCTTTTGAGTTAATTATAATTTAAGCAAAAAAATATCTAAACTTAATATCTCACATATTAAACAATAAAATTTGAATATAATTACTATGTTAAATCATTTATATGAAGTGATAAGAAAAACTTTTCCTGGAGAAGGTTCAGTGGTTTTTGTTTATCAGTGTGTTTTTTTTCTGTATGGTTTAGCTGATTTTAGTTAAACATTGAAAACATTGTTTAAAAGAAAAGTTTTTTTTCAAAAAAGAACAACAAATCATTGAACTGTAATATTTGAACAACAACAACAACAAGAAATAGTTGACTTCAACTTCTACCAATATAAATGCAGTTTGTATTGATTCAATAATGTACAAGTTGACGAAAAATAAATTTATTTTACAGAAATGTCGAATTATTGATTTTATGCGATTAGTAACTATCTTCTAATTAAATTAAATACTTAAATAATTTGATTAGAGGGGATCTAATTTTTTTCCGAATTTAGGAGATTTTCCATACAGATATAATTTGGTATTGAATACAATTAATTTAATTCAATGCCAAATAAACTAATATATTCGATCTTTGAATTAATTAATTATTATTTAGTCGTAACTAAGTTTTCGTCAGTTTTATATAAACTATCTAGTATCTTAAATATTTATTTATTCATGTGAAACTAATCGAATAATTTATATAAAAGAATATTGGAAAGAATTTTACCAACTGATTAGTTCATTTGTATCCAAAAAGTACTGATCAAGCATAATCATCGGTTGATTAAATCTAAAGAAATTAAGATTACTGGTCGATTATTTTCTTCTATTCTGAAATGTTGTATAAGTATACACTCAAAATAGTCATCCAGATTGAACAAACTACTCTTAGATTGAATAATAGTTACATTTTCCATTATAAAATAAATATTCTCAACTGTATTAAAATAAATGGGATGAACTTGATGTTGACTATTTACCAGACAGTGATTAATCTTTAGATAAACTCCTGATTAATTTAAGGGTCGGAGTATTATGTATATAGATCAATGCAACAAATTACATACGAATATTACTAACTAAGAAATCGATGAGACTATAATATATGAACGAACCAATGAGGTTTGAGACAGTAGGTGTTGAATTTTGGCACGAAACTCATCCATAAATATAACTAAATAACATTTTGGCATTATAGTTGATATCGGTTTATGGTGAAAACCCTAACTCTAATTCCTAACCCTAACGTACAACTATAAATCATAATCATAATTTGATCAACAGGAGCACTAAAAAAAACTAGATAAATTTTAAATGGTAAAACTCTAGTGAAATACGGACTAGAGCAAATATTCATTCAAAGTACTAATAATTCAATTATATACAAATACCTAAACTAATACATATTTTTATTAGGATGAATAAAATTTGGTGATACTCTTAATAAGTTAAGTAATTTAGACAAAATTGGTGAATGGTTATTTTGCCTAAATTAAAACAGAATCCGTCAATCTACAGATTAAAAAAAGTACTTCATTTATTGATATTTACAATTAATTTATTTTACCTTTTTAAAAATTTCATATTTTCTTGCTGTCTATGTATACATGAAGACATCATAATTTGTTGAAATGTACGTCGATCTAATGTCCATGCTGAAGCATTGGTTACAGCTAATATTTTGAAGAAAGATAAATTAAACATTAAAAAAAGTTTTGTATTATCTCTCAAGATGATAACTAAGCATTATTAAGTTTTATTCACAAATTCATAATACAAGATAGATATTTTGTGTATATATATACTTTGATATACAGTTATTTAGACTTTCAGTACAGTGTTTGTGTACACCACTAATGAAGGTGGATGAAGGAATGACTTAATAGTTGAAATAAACGAATTTCAATCATTTGATTGAGTTCGGAGAAACCTTCCACTGCAGTATGCACCACCTATGGGAACAAGTATAAGTCGTATGTATCTGGAATCGCAAGTGGGATTCTCACTGGCAGAAGAGAAAAACTAAGGGGAAAAATAAAAACAGGGAGTGGCTGAAGTAACAACAAGAATAGAAGAATGATTAGGTTTGTAAGAGACAGCCCAAAGACAATGTGCAAATAGTGTGTTTAATGTATTGTTTCCATGTTTTACAAATTCAGTGTGTAATTTTTTACAATACAATTGTTTTTTCCGTGCTTGGGTTTTCGTTCGTTACACCTCTGTCTACTTCGATTCGGGTGGCTGGGTATAACTAGCTGTGATAACTGAGTATGTAAATCTCTGAATGTTTAAAAATGTACAAAACACATTTTAGTGGCCCACGAATATCCGACTCTAATTGGATCTCGTGATTAACGCTATCGACTTATGCATAACGTCAATCCATGTATATAATCATCGACTTAACTCACGTTAGTGATTAACGGAATTAAATAGATTAAATACGAGAATAGATTTTGAATACGTATATTTCATATATTCGTTGGTCTAGACAGACGATCAGAGAAACGCAGTGAAGTGGATAGTAAGTAAAGCGAAACGGAACGACACTCAGTGAAGAAGGTATATGAGCCAACTCACTTGACTTAAGCGTTATTCAATATTTATAATCAAATCAAGTCAAAGAGAAGGGAGGCAAAGGCTAAGCGAGGAAAAGTGAATAATTAACAAGGTTAAAATGTGACTCAAGAAGAATGAATAAATTGGCCTGTCCGGAAGCTAGAATAAGCTATTTGAGCCCGACATAGGGCTAGCCACTATAACATTAATATTTCATGAAATATGATCAACCAATCCTAAGAAGTAGATGTAAACCATTCTATAGTTTCATACTTCGATAATTTATTTTATACTGAATAGTATATTGCTATAAACCACTAAATCATTTCCACTATCTAGTAAAATGCCCAAAATTCCCTGGTACAGCCTAGAGTGGGGAGAGTCCGCTCTCCCTCTCGAAATGCTCTCACATGGCCACACGTATATAGCCTCTGCCATGGAAGTCCTACTCACTGCCTTCTCGTGGCGGGGGTGTTGTTTACGAAAATGAGAGGACGAAAAGTGAATGTCCGGCGCTTTAACCGGATCCCAAATCAATGGTGCATATGGGCTCCAGTATCCTGCGGGAACGAATGGCGTATAAACCAATTTTCGGGCACCGGCTACCAAGGGAATGCATGTCCTTACGATGCTCCACTGCCTTGTGGGTTAGACCTTTAGGTCAAAGGCTCAGGGTGTGGCCCCCTAAGATAACCACCTGTTTCGGTCTGGGCACCCGGGCAGTATCACAGCCCACACACAAATGATGAACTCTATCTATGGAAACTACATTTCTCGCTCCGAATAACAGTCAAATGATCCAAATTATTATCATTACTATTATTATCATTATTATTACTGTTAGTATTATTATTTACTACATCATTATTCAACCTCTTTTATTCCTACTCCGTCTATACTTATTTTTTCAGTTTATACAGCAGCTCGTCTTTGGTGGAAATTCGACTGTATCTAAACGTTCTCGAGTCACTGTCCGGTTGAAAATTGTGTGTTACCACCGAATATGAGTACTGAAGCAGTTTTTCTGAAACCACGTGCACCATTCAAACTGGCTGCCTTCAACGTTCGCACATTTATGCAGGTCGGACAACAGATAGGGCTGGCTATGTCTTTGGAAAGTCTTAATATTGATGTTTGTTGTCTATCCGAGACCCGTATTCAAGACTCTGGTGAAGTACTACAAATTCGATCTCCATCTGTCGCTTCAAAAAGCTTGTTTTACGTGCGCTTATCCGGGGACCCTGTGGCATCTTCGTCTGGTCTTGCTGGCGTTGGTGTCGCACTAAGCGCTAGAGCTGAGGCAGCACTAATTGATTGGATCCCTATTAACAGTCGGTTGGTTATGTGCTGTTAGATTAGAGTTCCATCAAAGTGGGAAGAAATCGGCGTGAGAAACGATGTCTTTTCGTCATCTACGCCTATGCCCCGACAGATTGCAGCCCGGATGCAATCAAGGATGAGTTTTACCATCAGTTAACTGTTCTTCTCCAGAAAGTGCGTTCGACAGATATTGTAGTACTAGCCGGAGACTTGAATGCTCAGGTCGGGCGTCTAGGCACAGAAGAGAATCGTTTGGGTGACCGATGGGGACTTGTTGGTCGCAGGACAGATAACGGGGACCGTCTACTGCAACCGTGCACAGACCACAATCTGTTTCTGGCTAGCACTAACTTTCGGCACAGTCATCGCTGATGTGCTACTTGGCGTCCTCCCTCTGCATCTCAAGCCTTGACTCAGATTGATCACATCGCAATCAGCTACCGCTGGCGTAGTTGTATACAAGACTGCCGCTCCTTTTGGAGTACCTATCTGGACTCTGACCATGCCTTGGTCTGCGCCAATCTTGCCTTACTTTTCAGTGGACAACGAAGTGACCACCATCAACGGATTGATATTAGCAAGTTGGTTACAGCTTCTGTTGCAAGTAAATATCGAACCGAGCTAGCTTTTAGGCTAGCTACCACTCCACCGAAAAGTATAGATGAGCATTGGTTGCAATTGCATGACACCATGAAAATGTCGAGTAAAGTGAATTGTGGGTTCGCGAAATGTCCCACTTATAAGCACTGGGTTTCTCCAGGTTCCTTACAACTCATTGAAGCCCGTCGGTCTACTCCGGGTGACCGTGAGTTTGACCACAAACGAAGGATGTTACGTAAGGAAATTGGGCAAAGCTTGCGTAAGGACCGAGAAGCCTGGTGGTCGGAGCGTGCTAATGCGCTGGAAGCAGCAGCTGCATCTGGTAACTACCGGAAGCTCTTCCAGCTCATCCGAGACACTGGCAGCAAGAAGTCTGGTGTGAGCGAAACAATCTGCGAGGATGATGAGATGCCAATCACTAACATCCATCGACGTCTTGGACGATGGGCAGAATTTTTCGAAGGGCAGTTCAACTGGCCTGCTGCTCCGGCAACATCGGTCAGACTGTCCTGCCCTCCATGGCCGGTGGCGATTGATCCACCAAATGAGAAGGAAGTCCGCAAGGAACTCCAACTCTTGAAGCGTTACAAATCACCTGGCCCAGATGACTTACCTCCGGCTCTTTTTAAAGATGGTGGTGACTTTTTGACTAAGGAATTGACGACGTTGTTTATAAAGGTTTGGGAACTAGAGAGTGTACCAACGTCATGGAATGAGTCGATAGTTGTCCCTATCTTTAAAAAGGGTTCACATCGTTCCTGTAACAACTATCGGGGGATAAGTCTACTTACGATTGCGTCCAAGCTATTGGCTTCCGTCATTCTTCGTAGGTTGTTCAAAACCCGAGAAAGATTGACTCGCGAGGAGCAGGCTGGGTTTCGTTCTGGTCGAGGATGTATTGATCATATCTTCACCCTCCGCCAAATGTTAGAACACCGCCATACTTACCAAAGGCCAACAATCGTAGTGTTTCTTGACATCAGGGCTGCCTTCGATTCGTTGGATAGGATTGTTCTCTGGGATTGTCTATTGAAGAAGGGTGTGCCTGAGAAGTTTATTAACATCCTAAAAGCCCTATATACAAACACCTCAGGCAGAGTGAGGGCATACAACCACCTCTCTCCATTGTTCCATTCGAGCAGTGGGGTTAGGCAGGGTTGCCCAATCTCACCATTCCTCTTCAACTTTGCCATCGATGAAATTCTGGAAACAGCTCTGATGAATGTAAGTAATGGTGGTGTGGATTTGTTGCCTGGAGAAAGACTTCTCGACCTTGAGTATGCGGATGATATTGTCTTACTGTGCGATAATGCCCAAGGCATGCAATCCGCACTTAATCAGTTGGCAATCAGTGTCCGTAGGTATGGTATGTGCTTTGCACCTTCGAAGTGCAAAGTACGTCTACAAGACTGGCAGGATCCTATTCCTGTACTCACCCTGGATGGTGAGCAGATAGAAGTAGTTGAGAAGTTCGTGTATCTTTGTAGCTGCATAAGTGTTGGTGGTGGCGTGAGTGATGAGATCAATGCGCGTATAGTGAAGCCAGAGAGGCTTATGTCAATCCGGGCCATCTTTGACGTCTTCGTGATGTTAGTCTGGCTGTAAAAGGTCGGATCTACAACGCGTCGATGAGAGCAGTTCTGCTCTATGCTTGTGAAACCTGGTCTCTCCGAGTTGAAGATGTTAGACGACTCTCTGTGCTTGATCATCGTTGTCTCTGGAGGATTTCTGACATCCAGTGGCAACACCATGTTAGTAATGCAGAGGTTCGGCATCGTGTGTTCGGGCACAGAGATGATAATGCATTTGGTGTCACCATCTTGAAACACCGACTTCGGTGGCTTGGACATGTTCTCCGAATGTCGTCCCAGAGAATTCCACGTCGTGCATTATTTGTCGACTCTGGGACTGGTTGGAGGAAGTGGAGAGGTGGTCAGTGTATGACATGGTGTCGTGGTATGAAAGAAAGCTGCAAGGACTGGCTTCTGTTGGTCCTTCACGACTCCCTGGTTGGGGTCTGAGAGATGGTGCTACACAGTGGCTAGAGACCTTATCAGATATGGCTCAGAATAGAAGCCAGTGGCGATCCTTCTGTAACCTTTTACTTTCTTCATAGAAAGTGGTTGTGTCTCCCTTAACTGAAAGATTTCTTCTGATTGTACCTGTCTGTTCCGTTGTTTTTACCATCATTATTATTACACCACCTTACATCGATCTCTTTTTTTTCTCCTTCCCCTTAAATTCTCATTGTTTTGTGTGGCGCATATATATTTGGCGCATTCTTGTACCAATATTTATGTGTTCAAATAAATAAATAAATAATAATCTAGTAAAATTGGAACTCTTATTACAGAATTATGAAATTTTTCAAAATTCTCACCATTTATTCACATATACACATTAAGTCACGAAATGTCAGAAATACAATTTTTCTACTTATTTAAATATAACAAAAATATATTTTCACACTTCAATAGAAAAAGGTTAAATGGTTATTATAACCGCGAGAACTGATCATGAAACAGGGTGAAACTATCCTATTTTATCTAATCCTAACAATATTAACTCACAGGGTAATAGATTCATAACTAAATGAACAAAGTATAAATTATTTATAACTAAGTATTATATGAAATAATTGTCCTCTTGACACGTATAAGAACGTTGAGAAGACAACTAATGAAGTGGTGATAATTACGAAAGAAAAGATATACAAAATTTAGAAAGGAAAATAGTTTCAGAAACATAATACTTAGTTCTTAACGAAATGTGAATGAAAGCGTTATTGATAGATGATCATCCTATTGTCAAGTTACAGTAGATATTACTAAACAGAAATCAAGATCAACTGATAGTCAGAATAGCAATATAGAAGTAATTTCCCTTCTCATTATGTTATACTCACCTCGAACAGATGCAGTTCGTTTACAGTTGTAAAGTAATGCTAATTCACCAAAAGCTCGACCCACTTCCATTCGTCCAAGTAATGCATTATCTTTGTATACTTCCAATATTCCATCTAATAACAAGAATATAGACAAAAAAGATGAGGAAAATAAAGTAAATCTATATGGATATTTGTCAAGATTTGAACGGAAAATTTGATAGAATTTCAGCGTCAAGTATATAGAAGATAATTAATTCTATGTAGAAATTATATCTGGAATAATTTCTGAGGTTGATATTTAAATAACTCCAACTCTTCTCACAACAGACAGCTCTAAGATTCTTCAAGGAAGAAAGATTTAGCATACTAATGCGTTATTAACGAACATTCAAAATTCAGGGAAGTAGTTGGTGAATTTATTTATTGCCTATAAAACCTTTTATCTGCTAATGTGGAATTTTCCTGTTTTTATATTTATACAGTGTTGTGTCTAGGTTGGAATCCTTTATAACCAATAATTTAGTAATTATTATTGTGTTATATTATTATATGGAACAGGTCAAACAGGTCCCAGTATAACAAGCAAATAAGTTGAATATCACTTTTCATGGTAGAGTAAGGGAAATATGGACGATTAAAAATTATATCCTTACATATCTTGTCGATCATGTGTATCATAATACCGTGTAGTCAGCTTTTATACGTATCTATGACATAGCATCTACATTACTCGGTGTTTCAAGACTTCAAGAAATCCATACGAATCCAAATGAATAAATCTGACTTACCTATACACACAATGTTTGTAAGGCGCCTTCCTTCTGCTCGACTATCAATCGACAATGAAACACTACAAAATGGAACCCAAGACAACCCTCTTGTCAAGCTAAATACTTATATTCTTTATTCTCGTATTTAAGTAATGAACACTAGTGACTGATTAAATAACTAGCTTATTCATCCACTTTATTAATTATTACATGGCGTTACGCAACTTCCTTCAGCTTAAGTATTCTTATTATATAATGATTTTATTAGATATGCACATATATATCTGGCCCCTCAACAAAACACCTCTTATCCTTTAAAATAATTATTGTGTATTCGTATAGACCACATAGCTCAGTCACTTGTTGAAATTAGTTATCACAAGATAAATCACTCTGAATAATAATAATAATAATAATAATAATAATAATAATAATAATAATAATACGGGACGCACGTTTCGTACCTGCTAGCCATCGTCCATCTTTGCTTATAATGCTTGTAGATTAAGGCAATATCGAGGCAATACGCACAGTATGCACATATGCCAATAAGTGACTGATTAGTTGCAGTCCTAAACATCAATCCGAGGATTCGGACAACCAATACAAAAATGAATGATCTCGTTTAATTTCACAGTTCCTTATCAAATCCTTATAAGCTAAGCATAATAGTGACATTCGTTAAAATCACTTTACGTAATTTATATTATATTATGAAAGTTCCCATCAATAACGATTCATAAAAACAGCGATAAGTATGGAAGAACTTATATGATAAACATTATCAATGTTTATAAGTTGAATATGTGAATATTCGAGAGTGAAAACTAAGAGAACGGAACCGGAATTATTTAAAATGATATAATTATGATGTAGTTATGTAATCCATGAAATATTAAATAAATTGAATAGACTAAATAAGTGAATATCATATAATAACTGAGAATTAATAATTAGTGTCATGAAAAGTAAAATTCCATAACAAATGTGTATGAATGAGGTCAATACAGCAAGGCGAGATTGATAGCTGAGTCTTTTTGGATGCGTAAATTAGGTTTAAATCTTTTTTATGGTATCTGCTTCAGCAAAACTTAGTAAATCCGATATTCTATGTTAAACCCTGGAGAAATTTGGGACATAAACACCATGACCACTGTCAAACCGGTTGCTTGCTATCGAAATGCTGAAAACGTGTTATCCTTTTAATCTCAGCTTCTGTGAAATATGCTCGGAAATGCAGACACTAACCCTTCTTTTTGTTCCTCCGATATACGTGCTTTGGCACGTTCATTTCAGCTGATAGACTTGTAAGTCTATATTTAATCAGTTTATTTTATTTAATGTTTCATGGATTACATAACTACATCATAATTATATCATTTTAAATAATTCCGGTTCCGTTCTCTTAGTTTTCACTCTCGAATATTCACATATTCAACTTATAAACATTGATAATGTTTATCATATAAGTTCTTCCATACTTATCGCTGTTTTTATGAATCGTCATTGATAGGAACTTTCATAATATAATATAAATTACGTAAAGTGATTTCAACGAATATCACTATTATTCTCATACATATAATTCCCTTTATCTTAAAGAGAGAAAAATCGAAGATCGGTGCCGAATGATATGAATTTTACTTTGTTTCGCTAGGTTCTCATCAGCTGCTTACAATGTTATTACATATATCACATCCGCCTGTAGCTCTTATAGGGTTGCTGCCGGTCCCAAGCCCGGGTAAAGGAGGAGGGTTGGGCATGGGGTTAGCGTCCCCATCCCGTAGAAAACTAACTCGCTAAAAAAACGCTTACCAGAAAAAATAATCCAAACCATTTTAACTCTGCCCTGGGAGTTAGAAGGTCTTTATTTAGAAGAATTATGACGCTTCATGGTGAAAGCCGAGTTCCTTCGGAAGCCACGAGGCCGATGCCCCTTCTAACAACCAGAGCAAAAATTTTTATAGGTACATGGAACGTTCGAACAATGTGGGAAACCGGGAAGACCAGTCAAATAGCAATGGAAATGAGGAGATACAACTTAGTAGTACTGGGAATCAGCGAAACCCACTGGACCCAAGCTGGACAGAAAAGGCTAGCTACGGGAGAGATGCTGCTATACTCCGGTCACGAAGAGCACAATGCTCCACACACTCAGGGAGTCGCTCTTATGCTGTCCAAAGTAGCACGAAATGCACTTGTAGGATGGGAATCTCACGGATCCAGAATCATCAAAGCATCATTCAAAACAAAGAAGGAGAGGGTCTTAATGAATATTATCCAATGTTATGCACCCACCAATGATAGCAACGAGGAAATTAAAGATCAGTTCTACGAGCGGCTGCAGTCAATCATTGAGAAATGCTCAAGAAAGAACCTCACCATTCTAATGGTAGATCTAAACGCCAAAGTCGGAATAGACAACACCGGATATGAAGATATCATGGGACGACATGGACTGGAAGGAAGAAACGAAAATGGAGAAAGATTTGCAAATTTGTGTGCATTCAACAAATTGGTCATAGGAGGCACAATATTTCCACACAAGCGTATACACAAGGCTACATGGATCTCACCGGACCACACTACAGAGAACCTGATAGATCATATTTGCATTAACAAAAAATTCCGAAGGACAATGGAAGATGTGAGAACCAGGAGAGGTGCTGACGTAGCTTCAGATCACCACCTAGTTGTAGCCAATTTGAAACTGAAGCTAAAAAAGAACTGGACAAGTGGACAAACAGCAATACAAAGGTTCAATACAGCCTTCCTTCGAGATACTGTCAAACTCAATGAATTCAAGATAGCTCTCAACAACAGGTTCCAAGCCTTACAAGATCTACTGAAAGAAGAAGAAACTACTATGGAGGACAACTGGAAAAGCATCAAAGAAGCATTAAATTCAACGTGTCAAGAGGTTCTCGGTTCAAAGAAATACCATCATAAGGAATGGATCTCTACAGAAACACTGGACAAGATCAAAGAAAGGAAGAACAAGAAGGCAGCAATAAACAACAGCCGAACACGAGCAGAGAAAGTCCAAGCACAAGCTGAATACATAGAAGCGAACAAACAAGTGAAGAGGAGCATTAGAGCCGACAAGAAGAAATACGTGGAAGAACTAGCAACGACGGCAGAAAAAGCTGCTAGAGAAGGAAATATGAAACAACTTCACGATACAACGAAGAAACTAGCAGGGAATTACAGTAAACCAGAGAGGCCGGTCAAAGACAAAGAAGGCAAGCCAATCACCGAAATTCAACAACAGCGTAACAGATGGGTAGAATACTTCGAGGAACTCCTGAATAGGCCGGCTCCAATGAATCCACCGGACATCGAAGCAGCACACATAGATCTTCCTATAGATGTCAATCCACCAACTACGGAAGAAATTAGAATGGCCGTCAGACAAATCAAAAACGGGAAAGCAGCAGGACCCGACAACATACCAGCTGAAGCACTGAAATCAGACATCGAAACAACCACAAGCATGCTTTATCTTTTATTCAAAAAGATTTGGGAGGAGGAACAATTGCCGATGGACTGGAAAGAAGGACACCTCGTCAAGATTCCAAAGAAAGGAGATCTGAGCAAATGTGAAAACTACAGAGGCACTACACTACTGTCAATATCAGGGAAAGTCTTCAACAGAGTGTTGCTGAACCGGATGAAGGATGGAGTAGACGCCCAACTTCGAGATCAACAAGCTGGATTCCGTAGGGATCGATCGTGCACAGACCAAATTGCAACACTACGGATCATCGTCGAACAATCAGTTGAGTGGAACTCATCATTATACATCAACTTCATTGATTATGAAAAGGCATTCGACAGTGTAGATAGGAGGACGTTATGGAAACTTCTTCGACACCACGGAGTTCCTGAGAAGATTGTCAATATTATCCGGAACTCATACGACGGACTACAGTGCAAAGTAGTGCATGGAGGACAGCTGACAGATGCATTCCAAGTAAGGACTGGAGTCAGACAAGGCTGTTTACTCTCTCCCTTCCTCTTTCTTCTGGTGGTCGACTGGATTATGAAGACCTCAACATCTGAAGGAAAACACGGAATACAATGGACAGCTCAGAATCAATTAGACGATTTGGACTTCGCAGATGACCTAGCCCTCCTATCACGTACACACGAACAGATGAAGACAGCCAGTGTAGCAGCAGTCTCTGCATCAGTAGGCCTCAGCATACACAAAGGGAAAACTAAGGTCCTCAAATTCAAAGCGGAGAACAGCAATCCAATCACACTTGATGGCGAAACTCTGGAAGATGTAGAGTCCTTCACATACCTGGGAAGCATCATCGATGAACAAGGAGGATCCGATGCAGACGTAAAGGCGAGGATCGGCAAAGCAAGGGTCGCATTCCTACAATTGAAGAACATATGGAACTCAAAACAACTTTCAACCAATATCAAAGTGAGAATCTTCAATACCAACGTCAAGGCAGTTCTACTGTATGGAGCTGAAACTTGGAGAACTACAACAACCACAATCAGGAAAGTACAAGTATTTATAAATAGCTGTCTTCGCAAGATACTCAACATCCATTGGCCGGATACCATCAGCAACAGCCTTCTGTGGGAGAGAACGAACCAACTTCCAGCTGAAGAAGAAATTAGGAAAAGACGATGGAAATGGATAGGACATACATTACGCAAATCGTCAAACTGCATCACGAGGCAAGCCCTAACTTGGAATCCTGAAGGGAAGCGAAAAAGAGGAAGGCCAAAGAACACATTGCGTCGGATAATAGAAGCAGATATGAAAACGATGAATTACAACTGGACGGAGCTAGAAAGGATTGCCCAGGACAGGGTTGGATGGAGAATGCTGGTGAGCGGCCTATGCTCCTTCACGAGGAGTAACAGGCGTAAGTAAGTAAGTAAGAATAGAAATGAATGTGTGTATCATAATGTAGCGAAGATTCTGATAGAGATAATAAGGTCATAAAAATGCTGTTTCTCGAACATTGAAATAGTGATTAGAAATCATAAAGTTAATAAACATTAGATGATTATGTAATGAAACAACTGTAAGCAGATTAATGGCAATAAACAAAGATATGAAATGAAATCAGTTAGTTATGAATTGAAGGAGAATGACAATGATGTAATCAAACTTCAGAAAGAATAGAAACGATGAATGACGCAATAAATAAATAAACGGATATAATGTTACCAAGGCGAAGAAAGATCTATTACGGCTTCGTTTTGGATACATAGATCTGGTTTTAGACGTTTGATCGCTATGGCTTCGGGAAATTTCAAAAGATTGGAGTTTGATTGTTTGTGAGTCACCTTGAAAGATTTCAGTGTATCGACTTACTGTCCTGTGTCAGTGAGATATCTTGAGATAGCACTACTGAATGCTTTTAATCTACTTGACATTAGACTTTTCGGAATATGTTTACTTTATAAAGGTTTGATGAGAAACCGTGAAATAAACGAAGTTCGTGTTATTCTGTTATATTGATTGTTCTTGCTTTAGTTAAGTTTATCAATGGGGAAAATCATATGAAAGAGAAAATGTAGTTATCTAATTTATTACCTAACAGCAGAAAATTTATCTCCTTCTCCGAAGATTATAGAATAGGATAAACTTTAAAGAAATACGAGAATGCCCAGCAGTAGAATCCTGTACAACTATATCATATCATCTCCATCTACCTGGGTCCCAGCATTGATCTTTACACCGACTCAAACCTAATATCTTTTGGTTGTGACTACAAGGTAAATTGTAAAACTCAGTTCAGGACACACATACACCAACAACAATTCATTGTGAGTAATGGTGAATATCAACAACGCGAGACTACAAAATTCTATTATCATTATTAAATAAATCATTTTAAAGAATGATGAGTCATTCCAACTAACAAGGAACTATTCATGAAAGTAAAAAGGAAATTAGGGAAACGAAGCAACAAAAAAACTTGTGAAACTTTTTCACTATCAATAAAGTATTACCTGAAACAACATACAATGCATCGCCTGGTTCACCTTCACGTATAATAAAACATCCATGAGGTATTTGTTTTTTATACATACAAGCTACTATTTCTTCAATTTGTGATTGTTCTAAATGCTTCAAAAATGTATTATTACTGATAGCATCTCGAATTAAACTAGAAGACCTGTTTTGAAAAACGATGGGTTTTTCGAGTGAAAAAAAATAAAAACACAGAGAAGTTATAAGTATCATTAAAAGAATATCATCAATGAGGTTAAAAAGTTTGATCTGATTAATGTAAATAATTTTCATCTGTAAATCACTTTAAAAATCACCTGTCAATATTATTTTTTTCGGCTCAACGTCTTAAAGACCATTAATTATACTCAAATTAAATGATAATATCCTATTTAAATAGTTGAAATCACGAGTCAATTGAAGCTAGACCACCATGGAAAACCTGGAAGCCCACTGAAGATAATGGTGGATGGTGACGCGATTTCGTGAATTGGTTGAAGTTAGACATTAACACCGTTGGATGCTGGCCGGCTCAGTGGTCTAATGGTTAAGCGATCGTGCGCGAAGGGTGCGGGATCGTGGATGCGCACTGCTGAGGAGTCCCATACTAAGACAAAACGGCCGTCCAATGCTTTCACGTTTTCCATGGTGGTCTAGTTTCAATTGACTCATGATTTCAATTATTGAACTTACTAAAATCTCCATAAAACCCCTTCTAATAATATCCTATTTGTTATTATTTCGTACTAGTTATATTTTTTCATAAATGCTAAATCTCATAACTGATTATCCAAATTTAACTATGAAAATATAAAATTATCAACTACATGTTCAGTGAAACTGAAAAGTATAAGTCTTAATGATAGGATCATGTCTCGATCTTGGTTAGATCAATCATTGAATAATGGGAGGCACTGAATAGCTGCTTTTGTTCTAGTACGAGACTCCTAATCAGTGTGCACTCATCGACATATCATGGGGTATACAACTCAGGATCTTTGGTCCCTTATGTAAGCGCCTAACCCTTAGATCATCTAAATGTGTGCACGTCTAAATTCAATCGATTCGCGATATTGTACAACCACCTTCTATTGCTAGAGGTATATAACCGCCTCATACCCGATATGTTTGAACTCCACTAAAGTATGAACTAATGGTCTTCGCTAATATTAAACTATATAAAAATGTTAACTATGTTCAGATAGAATTTGTTACTTCTTTCTTTTACATCAGAATGACCTACAATATAAATATTTTTATAAAAATTTAAGCATAGATCGCCTGAAGGCAGGCATTTCATACTGATTAACGAACGATGTTATTCATATAATTTTTTTGTTACCAAATAAATCTCTACAAGGACATATAACCTATAAATACTCTTTGAGTGTATCTAACACACTTATCTGGTTAAAATAGTCAATTATTCTAAGGATGTATACAATACCAATTCCTATAATTTTAGATATCATATAATTTAATGAACGATGCAAAAAGACTGGTGTTTTCTTTTACCTTCGACTGTAACTACAGAAATCTGTATTTTTTTGAAAAAAATATCTTTGACAATAATTTATCTCTATGTATGATAATTAGTTTAGGGAACTGCATTTTATTAAAATCAAAAAGAGAATAGATGTTAATGTTGTGTTCTATTATATAGACTGGTTCTGTTTAAAAGTATCGATCAGTTAGATTTGGGCCCATGTCATATTAATCAATTCAATATTGTAACAGATAACAAGTAAACTAACTATGAAACTACCAAACATTCATTAAATTAAAATCTTACACACAAGCACTTTATAACGAACCAATCATCTTATAATTAAACTTATGGTGTATCAAGTTCTAGAAACTTTTAACACTTATGAAACATAACTTCGTTGTATAGGTTAAAAAGAGAATGGGATCATTTGAAATTTATTCGTTATGTTTTCTATTCTTAAAATTCTTATAAATAATATCAAACTGATTGTTGGTACCGTCTGTTTATCAAGTAGAAAAATTACGAACATTATTCATTTATCAATTCATTTTGTCAGTATTGTCTATTGAGAAGTTATATACGTTCATCTGTTAAATTTTAATTGAATTCAACTATTTCTTGAATATGTGACTTATTAACTGAATCTGCATATCAACTGATGAGTCATAAATGAGATAAAACACATGTACATTATTCCATTTTTAGTCACAATCCAAATGTACTAAGCAAAATTGTCCCAAGATTATCCGTTGAGGATGGATATTAGCCAATATAGACTGTTTAATTAAAGTCCTTTATATCGTCAACAGGAAAGTCGAAGCCCTAAAACATATGTTTCTATATGTTACAGATTTCCTTTAAATATTTATTAATTTTTAAACATCATTTAGTAAAAATATTTGTTCTTCAAACTTGAACAGAACCTTTATAAAAATATGTTTATAATGGTCCTTTCATTTTAAGTGATATGAATCTTTCCATTTGGCTGCATCATTGGCTGACATCATTTTTTATACTTAGGTTTTATTTATTTATTTATTTGAACACAAAAATATTGGAACAAGGGAGCACCAAACACATATGCGCCACACAAGTCACTTGATTTGGGTGTGGGCTATGATATTGCCCGGGTGCCCAAACCAAAGCAGGTGGTTTTCTTAAGGAGGCACAACCGGAGCCTTCGACCTCAAGGTTTGATCCACAACACAATGGAGCAACTTCAGAAGATGCAGTACCATGGTAACCGGTGAACAGCGATTGGTTCATACGCGATGTGTTCCTTCAGGATACTGGAGTCTATGTGCATCATTGGTTTGGAATCAGAGTTTTCCAACTCCCCTAGTTGGATCCTCCATATCTATCAACCCGGTCAAAGCGTCGTACATTCGCTTTTCGTCCTTTCAATTTCGTAGCCAACAGCCCCGCCGCGAGGATGAAGTGAGAAGACCTTCCCTGGCAGTGGTTATATGTATGTGGCCATGTGAGAGCATTTCGAGAGGGGATAGCTGACTCTCCCCACCTTCAGCCGTACCACTTATGTTACCACTACTATTGTGGTGTGCGCTAGATATAAGTAGTATATGGGAGGAATATTAAGTGGAATGGCTACCAGCAGATGATTGAAATGAAGAGAACAGGTAAGAAATGGAGAGCAGTCAAAATAACAACAGAATTGGAAAAATGATGGAGTATGTAAAGGACAGCTCAAGGAAAATGTGCAAATGATGTATTTAATATCTGATTTTGATATTTTACAAAGGCATTGTGTGAGTTTGCATGAAACAACAGATTGGTAAAATGCACCTGAGTTTTCATTCACTAAACTATTACTATTGCTCATTCCGTACTTCTGAAGTTTATTTCCAATCGTTTTTATTAAGAGTGAGGTTAAGAGTACGAGGGAAGAGGAAAAACGCTCAAAATAAAACATTTCCTATTATGAAAATGGAAATTATTCACTCTACAATTTTATTTTGTTACAAGTTATAATTCAGTAGCTTTTATATGAAGATAATATATTACTATGTCCCTTCAAATTAATATGCGATATTATGATTATAACGTGCTTTTGTGTTTACGGAAAATTAAATAGGAAATATGTACGGTAAATAACGCTACATTATTCATTTATTCAGATATATACTTGTAAGCTTTGATGATGATTTAATAAACGTCAATAGAAGCTTTTGTCTGTTCCTTTTTTCCACCAGAAAAAATACCCGGCCCCATTAGAACTCACTTAAATCTAGTGTTATAAAAAAAATAATAAACTTAATGACTAAAGCATAATTTGGTGATAAACTGGATATAGTCGTAGAGGCAAAAAACAATTAACTAAAATTGCCGGGTATCATTACAACTTTCAATAAAATCTAAATGATGGGTCAGATTATTTATTTTTCAAACAACATATTTTACAAAATCTGATGGATCATTGATTGAAATCATTAGTGAAATCACGAGGCCGATTCCCCTTAAAGCAATTAAAGCAATAATTAATATAGGTACATTGAATGTTCAGACAGTGTGGGAGACGGGGAGGACTAATCAAATAGCTACGGAAATGAGGAAATACAACTTGGCAGTATTCGGAATCCGTGAAACGCACTGAGCTCACTTAAGCTGGACAGAAAAAATCAAATCCGGGAGATATGCTGCTGCACTCTGGTGACGAAAATGTTCCATACACTAAGGTAGTTGTTCTGATGCTGTCTAAAGAAGCGCGTAATACACCTATAGGATTGGAATCTCATGGATCCAGGATCACAAAGGCATCATTCAAAACAAAGAAGGAGGGGATTACAATGAATATTATCCAAAGTTATGCACCCACCAATGATAGCAACGACAACGATAAAGACAAGTTTTACGAGAAAATGCAGTCGATGTTGGCGAAGTACTCAGGAAAGGACCTGTTAATCCTGACGGGAGATCTAAACGCCAAAGTCGCAATGGACAACAACGGTTATGAAGATATCATGGGACAACATGAACTGATTGGGAGAAACGAATGGAAATGTGGAGAGATTTGCAAATCTATGGGCATTCAACAAATTGGTTATCGGTGGCATAATATTCCCACACGAAGCTAGCTACATGGGTCTCACCGGATCACACCACGGAGAACCAGATAGATCATAGTTGTGTCAATAAAAACTTCAGAAGGACAGTGGAAGACGTAAGGACTGGGAGAGGAGCCGACAAAGCTTCAGATCTCCACCAACTGGTAGTTGCCAACACGAAACTGAAGCTAAAGAAACACTGGACAGCTGGGGAAATAGCAGTACAAAGGTTCAATACAGCCTTCTTTCGAAATACTGACAAACTCAACGCATTCAAGATAACTCTCAATAACAGGTTCCAAGCCTAACAAGATCTACTGAAAGAAGAATAAACTAATATAGAGGACGACTGGAAAGGGATCAAGGAGACACTAACTTCAACATATCAGGAGGTGCTGGGCTTCAAGAAGCATCATCATAAGGAATGTATCTCTATCAAAACCCTGCACAAAATTCACTTATTGTTATTCTTAAGAAAAATAAGATCATCAGTGATTAAGAATAAATGAATGATGTACACAGTAATTTCATAACATTTGTAATATCATCTTGCTAACTAAACTATTTATTAATATATCATTCAAGTAAATATGTGAATAATTTGTGTTATTATAA